AATCGAATCGAATCGCCCAGTTCGGCGAACAAGCCAACGACCATCTACGCTACCTGAGCTACCGACATTTTCCTCTATAGAATATCAGTCATCGTGAGTCACAACAGTCATCGTGACCTCCAGTGCTGACCACTGCGCGTGTAGTCATTGGGCCTTAGCAGCCATTTCCTGCATTACACCCGGGCTTCTAGATCATCGAGATACGTGAACGACTCATTTTCTGCAAACGGAGAAGAGAAGGGTGCCTCTTTATCGGCCTCAAACGCTTCCAGTAGATCAAAGCAGACTATCGTACTTCTCCCTTTTAAGTGGTGTGCTACTTACTGAAAGAACCATCTTGCATCCTTCTGCTAATACCCCAAGTCTTCCAACGTCTCTGTGACATCGTGACCACAGCATAGACTGGCGTAGATTGGCTTGCACAGTTATTCAACCCGTATTTTGCGCCTTTGAAAATCTATTCTTTAGGTACATCATGTTCAGTCTGGAATCAGTTCAACTCAACAGATCTTACAATTCCGAGAAAAACAACAAAACACAGGAGCTGGAGCAGACACGGGCCAAATTTTTACGAAGTTCTACACACACATTTTCACGGAATCCAAGAAAACTGATCAAAGTATGGGAAACCAGGAGTCCAATTTTGCTACTTCCAAATAAATCTTGCCCATTCAACCGTTGCCCACTATCATCATCATCATCATCATTATCATCATCATCATCATCATCATCATCATCATCATCACCATCATCATCATCATCATCATCATCATCATCATCATCCGAATCATCATCATCATCGGCAGCATTGCCCACTACATGAGTGCTAAACCGCAAACAAACAGGATCCGTTGTTGCTAGGTGAACGTCACCACATTAGAAGGTCACCTCTAAGATGCGAATTCAAGGAAAACAATTTGCAATACACAACGACTGTTATGTGGATGATTAGCATCACGTGAGTGCGTAAAAATGTTACAGGTGAACTTTTAAATTTGCCTTGCGTACTACTGCTTATATCGTTTTTACAATAAAACAGTTTCTCAGTTTTCAATCATTAATATTCAATCCCTGATGTGGTGTTTTTTCACCGGCAATGTCCCACTGCCGTCGACTTTCGCCTCTTTGATCAGAGCGTCGGTCGACATCACGTGGGACAATGTGGGCGTCGGCATCGCAATGCAGTTTTTAGATAGCTCACGTGCTACGGAGAACAATCCCAAACAGACAATCGTCTTCATGTTGTGGAATAATGCTATCGTTCTAGCGGTACGCCACTTGTGACATGCCTGGAAGTCTGCTGGTCATTGCAGCATGCCGCAGTGCATGGCGCAGTGGTTTGGCCTTAACCAGGCATGCTCTGTGAGCTAGTTCCGCAGCAATTCTCATCGTTCGAATGAACAAAAAGTGTTCACTTCCCGAAAGTTTACTTCTCATAGCCAGCGTGGCGCAACAAGTTAGAGAAGTGGAACGCAACGAAATAGGACGGAGAGCAAAATGCAGAAATTACATATTGGGATAACGGATCTTTTCCAGATAAGCCTCGCCACTAATACAAAATGTGTATAGGCGAAAAG